AAGGAAAAAAATAGAAACAAAGTCTTTGTAAATAGGGAAGGGTGGAGGGGGTGAAAGGAGGGCAGGGGAATGGAGAGAAAATAAGAACCAAGATACATCATGTAAAGGTAGACAATCTCAATGATGAATTTAACTGTATTGTATACCTAAAATGTACCAATAAACTTAATGGAAAAAAAAAAAGTGTGTGCTCAGCAAGCATGAAGTGGCAAACCTATGGCACATGTGCCACAATGGGCTATTTGTATCACTGCAAACTAAGAAAGATTCATCATCACTGTCCTAGGTTCAGACCCCAGGACCAGATCCATTTCAATGTACTGTCAAGATAGCCTAGCACAGTGGTGGCAAATCTATGACATATATGGTACAGTAGGCTGTTTGTATCACTGAAAGCTCTAAAAGGTTTGCCGTCACTGGCCTAGCATCTGGTACAGAATCATGCTTTGTTTTCTACCCAAACACTGTCCACAAAGTCCACAGGCAGTACAATTTTTTCCCAATAATTGATGACTTTTTGCAAAAATATGTTGTCTTAAATCCCATCTGGGAGGGATTCTACTAACCAAAGCCTCATTAGCAATTCTTTTTCATGAGAAAAATATTGCACAAAGGGAAATGTACACTATTATATACATCACAAAGTATAAAAATGATTGCTTTATTGCTATACAGGCAACAATACGTCCCTAATCTGAAAATCTAAAAATCAACTGAGTAGCAACATAAGGTTGTTTTCAGATGCTGAGTTTTGGAATTAGGGATACTCAAACTGTAATCTATGCAAATATTCTACCCCCAACCCCCATTAGAACCTTAAAACACCACTGATCCCAACCATTTCAGATGAAGGATACGATACCCAAGCCACCCATCATAGTAAAATCAAGGCATTAATGTCTACCATTTCACTACTGAAGAAATTTCATTCTGATTCTTGAAACCATGCTTTCTTTCAGAGCCAGGTGTGGCAATATATGCCTATAACCCCAGCACTCTGGGAGGCCGGGGCAGAAGGATCACAAGTTTTCAGCCCAACCTCAGCCATCTAGTGAGATCTCATCTAAATTTAAAAAAACAGGGCAATGTAGCTCAATGCGAAGTCCTACTACTGTAAAAAACAAAAGCAAATAGGGCCAGGGATTTAGCTCAGCTGTTCTGGCGCCTGCCTAGCAAGTGCCAGGGTCCTCAGTTCAATCCCCGGTACCAAAAAAAAAAACCCGCCCTCAGTTTTAGAATACTACTTCTGATGGCAATACATCCAGTCATTTTAGCTGCAGACCAATAGTATAGCGTTTAGAAAGTCCATCCAACCTCAGCTGTTACTATATCTTAATTTTTTCTTAACAAAACAATTTCATCTTCACTTTTTTGGGCAGTAGTTTAAGAAATTACATATGCTAGACTTTACTGGTTAGTATATGCAGATTTATGTCTGACATAACTGTATAATGCAGTTTCAAAAGAACTTTCATATTTGATAATTGAACTCAAAAAATTCAATCTGTACTTGTATTCTGGAATTCAAAAAAAACCAGTCAAAATAGGAATGAATTTGATAATCTCATATCCCAATTCCATTTTGCTCAAAGATGATGTGATAACTACAATGGAGGCAAAACCACTACAGTTCTCAAACTCACTGAAGAAAGCTAAAATACAGGAGATGGGGAATCCAGCCCAAAAACCATTTAACAGAGATCTGTGCTGTATGTACATGAAATCCAGCAACCCTATTTAACTGTTTCTATACCTTCCTTTACAGTTGTGCATCAACAACTAAAAATGAAAGAGTAAAAGTGGATGTAAGTAACTGAAGGCATAGAGAATGCTTGCCTGGCCTGAGTGGACCCTGGGTTCTACACCAAACATAAAAATAAACTCTTCAATTTTCTTCCACTGACACAGTATCTTTATGCAAGAATTACAATTTTAGCATTGAACTAAAGCTAAAGTATAGAAGGCATAATAAGGTTTTTGCTTGGTTTTACCCTTTAGATTTATGTTTAGCACATATGCAGAAAATATTATTCTTTACCAACTCCCAAGAAAACAACATACACTACTGCTAAGCAGCTAAATGGAGCAGGAAGACAACCACTCTCCATTAGTCTAGCCAACACAGTACCAAAAGTAAAATTGAGTTCAGTAACTGAAGGTAACTTACAAACTACCTAAAAGTTGGGAAAAGTATACTAAAAAAAGTTATCTCCTCAGTCTCTGTCAACTAAATTCTTAAAAGAGTGTCCATGTATTTCAAAGTATTGTCTGTGGTTAGGAAGCTTTTAAAAGGAGCCAATACTGAGAGAAAAGAAAATCACAAATCATGAGAAATCTGAATTCCCCAGAATAGTTACCTCCTGGTCAGTCATCCGGAAGCAATTCTTCACATAATTAATGAACTTGGCTTCCACTTTGGGAAGAGAACCACCCTGTTGAGAAAAACACATTTAAGATAACTATAGAACCATTTTTTAGAGATATGAGCTAAGTTCTTAAAGATCTACACTGTTTGATGTACCTTACCCCTTCACCATTGTCATTTTTAGGCCTGGAAATACTTGGGCAGCACGTCAGGACCATGGCTTTTCAAGTAACCCCAAAGTTTGCTTAAGGTTGAAATCATCCCAACAGCCACTGGAGAAATTTCGACAAAATCTTATAATTGAGATTCTACAGGCAAACAAATACAGCAACTTGGCTACCTGTCTATATTACCTAATATATGTTTTATTACAACCCTTTATAATCCAGAACCAAATACACAAACATGCCCTGCTTTTGAGAACCATGTCACAAATGACAAAAAGTGTTTAAAAAACAGTATTACCTCAGCATCAATTCAGAGGCCATATGAAGGTGAATGGGTAAGATCAGTAGTAACTACAACTTGACTCATCAACATGTCCTTCAATTATGAAACTACGGGAAAACTAATAGCATCAGCAATGCCATAGATTTTGTCAGCAGAAGACATTTTATTGCAAACACTATGAAGTTCACATTCATCACTTGGAATTGTATAGTGTATTTCACTTGTGTCATATTCTAACAATTTTAATATATCCCCTGTATCCTATCTTTTGCACTTCTATTGAAGATTAAGGTTTTCAAATGCCAAAGAACTATACCAGAAAGAGCTATGGCATATTTAACTGCCCCATCACTTAGTAAATAAACCACTCCAATATTTTTCATTCTAAAATTGTCACATACATCCTTATTTGATTCATTCAAATATTTATTGAGCAGCTAAGAAATACAAAGGTAATTAAAACAAGAGATGAGGCATATGCACAACAGAAAGCATTATGTAAGGTTCACTGAATCACAGCAGTCAAAAAAGTAAAGGAAAAAAGGGTGCTTTAGGGAAAAGATTCCTTCCAGCTTGGAAGAGGGTCTGAGTGGCAAATCAGGAAAGGGGATTGAGATTAAAATAGAAGACTTCAGTCTGGATTGTTGATGATACTCAGAATGGACTATTATTTGTCTCTCCTTTTCCTTTCTCCCCATCTTTGGGCTTAAATTTATCAGTAGTGCCCAGGACTGTTCAATGCGCCT